AGTTTATTTATAGACCAATACATTACAAATAGACAGCTCAGCCCCGATATACAAGATATCGCATCTCAATGAAGGTTTCATATAAGGCGATTCAGCATTGCGTTCACGTTTTCTCGTTAGGTTTTTTTTTTTTTTCACATGAAAGGTCGTCATCGTGAAAACTTCAAATGAGAGTGACAGTCACAGTGAGTTTCAGAGTACTGTACGCTAGTGGCTCCTAAGTAGCGCCTCAGTGAAATACTTTTAAAAACAAATAATAATTGGCACTAGGTTATCCTTTACCAGAGCCACAGATTGCTATTTCACTAGATATTCACAGATATGTCTTCGGATAATTCACGGCACATTTCTCAACTTGGATAAAAGAAGTCATCATTAATCTGCCGAGGGCGTCTCGATAGTTACACAGACCCGCAGGTTCAGTAGTAAGATATTTTTTAATGTGGAATGTTTAATGTGGAAAACATTTCAAGACTAGCTTGAATATAAACATCGTTGATGAAGCATGAACTCCTTACTTTCAAGCGCAATGAAATCAGTAATTAATGAAATATGAAGCTTATTATTTGTCCATTTATTTAGTCATGAGTGTATCATAATTCTATCTCGATAGTATAAAATATTTTTTCTTATTTTGTTCGTATTTACTAGGCCAAAATTCTGACGTTAAGGTTTAGCTCCATCTAATTACGAGTACGAGTACAGATGTAACAGTGTTGAGAAAAAAAGAAAACCCAATTTGAAACGGGTATAAAGAACGGTAATCGTCAAACCAGTTCTGCAAGCTTCTTATGTATTCTTGCATACCTCAATCGACGAACATGTTCATCAAGATCTGTAATTATTCTTGCATACACCGTTCCACATTAAACCAATTTCGTTCTCTATTTTCAGAGAGAAAGCCTGCATCAAACACAATGGCTCTTTCAAAAATCCTCGAAAAAGATTTCCTGACATGCATCATTTGTGAGGATAGGTATGAAGAACCTAAAATACTTCCTTGCGTTCACAGTTTCTGTAAAAGGTGCATTGAGGGGCACGTGAAGATCAAACTCGACCGTAACCGCCGTTTCCCATGCCCCATCTGTAGGAGGAAATGCGAGCTGCCAGAAAAGGGGACGGAGGATTTGCAGAAAAGCTGTCTTCTTGCTAACCTCGCTGAGGTAGTCAACAAGGTCGACCAGGCGAAGACGCAGGACAAATGCGAGACATGCGCCCTTAAAGAGCCCCCAGTAGATGCAGATGCAACAAAAAGATGCCTGAAGTGTGATGACAACATGTGTGACGTCTGCAGTGCAGAACACCGACGTCACGGTGGATGTCGTGACCACCAGCTAATCATATTGGCAGAACTCAATGATGAAGCATACACCAGTGAACTTCGCTCTCGCCAACAAATTCTGTGTAGCCATGACAACAAGACCCCGGCCGAAGTATTCTGTTCTTGCTGCGAAATGTTCATATGTGGAACATGCGTTTCTCTTAAACACAAAGATCACGATTGCGAGTACATACTATCAGCTGCCAAAGGTGGAAGAGATAGCTTGGCCACCGCCGAAGAAGAGATTGGTCAGCAAGAAACAAGAGTAACGAGTCTTCTTTCAATCATGAAGCTACGCAAGACGGGTTTACATTGTCACGGCGAGGAACTGAAGAAATCTATTAGCAATCGTGAGGAAGAGCTCGTTGCGTTGGTTAGAACCAATGGGGATCGCATGCGTAAAGAAGTGGACGAAGCTATGATCCAGGAAAAGGAAGTTCTGGAACCCATGGAAAAGGAGCTAGAATTGATCCAGGGATGTTTTGTGAGCTTCAGGGAATTTACCAACACCTTAATTACTCACGGTTCCGACCCAGAGGTCTTGCAGATCATGGCAAACTGCCTGAGACGCAGCAAGGAATTAACCGAGATGAAGTTACCGACCATCCCAACCACCAAAAGCCTAACCCTAGATGCCAAGCATGTCAACAATATGTCAACTGTCATTCGTGAGTGTATGGGCGAGATGCGACATGCCAGGGACAAGGAACTGTTGTGGTCATTCCGCGTAGACCTAAATACTGATCCTCAGGAAACACTATCGCATGTAGCTGTAGATGCTGAAGGGCGCATATATGTTGGTGTGTGGTGTAGCAAGGATAAAAAGAGAAACAAGATCAACGTATACGACGTTAACAGGCGCTTGATGGTGACTATTACTAAGCCTGAGTTGACAAATGGCATCGCTGGTATTGCATTCGACCAAGAAGGAAACGTTGTTGCTCGGTCGCAGTTAGATAACGTGGTGATGATCTACAGCAGTGACGGCAAACTGCTATCTAGTTTCCACAGCCCACAGCCGCACGCAGTCTCAGTGGACAGCAAGGGACAGTACGTCATTGCTGGAAAGGAAGCAATATACATCCACGACAAGGATGGGCAGGTCGCTCATAGTTTTCCTGATCCACTGCAAGTTGATATATTCAAACATGTCGCAGTCAGCGTAACAGGTGATATCCTTGTGTCACATCCCGGCGATGACAAATTACTCGCCTACAACCCCGTATCCGGTGTGCTGAAATTCACGTACGGAGACAAAGGCTGTGGTGATGGTCAGGTGAACGCACCAAGGGGAATGTGCTGCTTGGCAAACGGGGATATCATATTAGCCGATTTCAGAAACGATCGCCTCCATTTACTGTCTCCAGATGGTGTGTTTAAGAAGTTTTTTCTTAACAAAGAAGACGGGTTGAAATCCCCAAAGGATGTTGTTCTCACCCCCGATGGAAAAGTTGTTGTTGTCGAGAATGAAGGAGCTGTAAAGTGTTTTGCTATCCTAGATTAAGTGACAACAATTAAGACTAAAGTGAAAAGTACACATTTTGCTACAGATTGATGTGCAAATAGACCGACACAAAAGTATAACGAATTTCTAAAGAAATATTTGGAGATGTTAAATTGATGCGAAGTTCAATTATTATAATTTTTTTTTTTTTTTTTTTTTTTTTTTTTTTTTTTTTTTTTTTTGCGATTTAATTTAAGAGAATGTGTTTGGTATATTAACAGTAGGACTTAAGGTTGTACTATCGTAAAAGTGGTGTATATAGTCACTAACTTTTAAAATCATTTGTGATAGATTTGCAATTGTAAAATAATTGTAAAGTGCGATTTGAGTGTGTATATACCTGGTGTGGTGGTGTTTGGGGGTTGGTGGTGTTTGGGGGGGGGGGGGGTTTGCGCTACGCCGTTTCGCTTCGTAGCTTCAGATACTCTTTCTTTTCAGGCAGATTGCTTTATAAATAAGAATAAATTTACTCTTGAACAAACATATTAAAGATTCACTAAAATATCAGTTGAACCCGTGTTTCCAATAAGTATACATAATGTTATAGTGATGTGTAAAGTTACGGTTTATGAGATAAAAATTTTCTGGCATCTTTCCCAAAACGATTAGTAAGGATAGAGAGGATATTAGAAAACAAAACCATGGAAACAAAGGTTAAACTTTATTACGCGGCAAGTTTTTTTTTTCATTTTTCCGGTCCATTAGAGGTTTTTCACTTTTTGTTCAGTTGCCAACTAGACGAGTAGGCCTACCACAAGCGGTGCAAATAATCTGTTTCTAGGCATTTAACGGCTGAACTGTATACAACCCCACCCCCAGCATTTTGATAGTCTACGAACCTGGTACCGGTATGTCTCTAAATTTTCCAAAATAAAATTTAAAAAATTAAAAATAACCTTATTATTAACGTTATAAATCTCTTTTTTGACAAAATATTGTGAATGATGTCTTTATGTCTGCCAACTGGTAAATTGATATTTCCTTCATTTCTTGATCGGGTGATTCCACCTGTAGTGTCTATGGTTGAAGTTCCCAGTAAGTACCTTATGCATTTTGGTGAAAGTCCATGTAGCAATTTAAAAACTAATGCTGCTTGCTTAAATTCTATCTATTCATATATTGTTTGCCAGTTTAGTTTCTTGACTAGTTCAACTGATGGATTGTTCTTGATTTCTTTTTCCGGGATATCGAGAATGATTCTTGCACCACGTTTTTGAAGTTTGTGTTTTCTAGTTTTGCACAGCTGCTCCATATAATGGAGCATTCATCCAGATGCAGTAGTATATGTGCATTATAAAATAATTTTATTGTTTCCAATTTTAGATATCGTTTTAACTTGGATAGAAGGAACAGTTTACTGTAAATTCTTTTTTAAAGTAAATACACAGAGTTATTCCAGCTTAGATTTTCGTTAAAATATACACCTATAGGTTTTTTCTGATTGTAAAATGAGTCTAAAATGTCCCCATTGAACACAACTTTTAATGACCGTTTAATTTATGGTATTTTTGCACATTTTTGTCTTTTTGTTATAAGCATTGCTTTTGTTTGTTTTTTTTTTTTTTTTTCGCACTGAATGAGAGTCCTTCCTCAGTGAACACTTTTACCTTTGCAGAATTTTTTGGACCAGTGTATTCATACTTATTTTAGTTTGCACAATGTAAAAGGAAAGTATAATTTATACTAATTATTGGTGTGAAGTGAATAAATATGAAAAATTCACCATACTGTGTTATTATATTTCTGCAAATTTTCATTTTTAACAGAAATGTGAATATTATTGTATTTTCTACATGATTTTGCAATAAAAAAATACAAATGTGAAGTTAAGGCACCAACCACTCTAGTATAACTTTACATAGAAATATATCTCAATCAGATTAAAAATGTCCAAAAAGTGTTGTAAAATATTTCAAATAATTTTCATACAGCAAACACAATCTTCTGTAATCAGTAGTATATAAAAAAAATTATGATGATCCAAGTGTTAGTCCTTTACTAGACGACAGACGCAGGTGATGGCAATATGTACAGACACATCTGTGTCTGTACATAAAAATTATGATGATCTAAGTGTTAGTCCTTTACTGGGTAAAATACACCTATATTCTCAATATTTCCACAACACTTATTATGTTGTTATGAACACCGTGCGGCCACAAGCTGATTGGCTAATTCCACCACATCTTGTCTTGACATTTTCTTTATCCAGTCTTCAGGAATGCCATCAACACCATGCTGAAAGGATAGAAAATATCTAATTGCAATGACTACATACTTGTATATCCTTGAAACAAATCCTATCAATGATTAGTTAAATCCTTCTGATGAATATGACTATCACTATTGTTTAGCACGGTTTCTACTTTTGAAATATATCACACTCCAATTAAATAACACCTACATTTCAGTTATTTTTATCTCTTTTCAACAATTTATTCACTTAAACAAAAACATTTGAAAATCTATTTTTATGAAAAATTTGCATATTTGATGCAGAAATTAGGTAACAAAGACGATTTAGATCTAACATCAAGCCTGTATACTAGAACATTGTTTTTATTTCAATTAATTTTCACCCAACCAATAATAGCCTGGCTAAATCATAGAATTACAACTATATTTATTTTTATCATTGATGTCATTTAATTAGTATTTTGCATTATAATATTTAATTTAAAATTGCTACAGTAATGATTTATTCAGAACTGAAAGGGATAACAATTCTTCATGTCAAATTCAAAATTCTACAATAAATACTAGGCCAGTCAATAAACAACTTAGGTTGGAAAAAATTGGTGACAAAGGTTTCTCAACTGATTCTGGTCCGTTGAAGGCCCAATATAGCCCAAAAAATTTCCCCCATGAATCCCCCCATGGCAAAGTCTCATTTTCCACAAAAATCCAAAATGGCCGCTTTTGAATGGGGTGGGTGGACTTGAAATCCATAATTTGGGAACCCAATGTCACAAAAACATGTTTTAAGTATCAACTCCTACTAAGTGAGGGATCCCCAATCTTTTGCAACTAGTCTCAAGGTCACTGAAGGTCAAGGTCATGACCTTATTACAAGGTCAAGGCATTTTTGGAGAAAAAAAATATAATGTCTATATGACAGTTTCCCAATGTCACAGAAACATGTTTTAAGTATCAACTCCTATTAGGTGAGTGATCCCCAATCTTTTGCAACTAGTCTCAAGGTCACTGGAGGTCAAGGTCATGACCTTATTACAAGGTCAAAGCATTTTTGGAGGAAAAAAAACCCATAATGTCTATATGACAGTTTCCCAATGTCATAGAAACATGTTTTAAGTATCAATTCCTACTAAGTGAGTGATCCCCAATCTTTTGCAACTAGTCTCAAGGTCACTGGAGGTCAAGGTCATGACCTTATTACAACGTCAAAGCATTTTTGGAGCAAAAAAACCCATAATGTCTATATGACAGTTCCCCCGTTGTCATAGAAACATGTTATAAGAAACAATATCAACCAAGTGGGACACTGCCAAACACTTGCAACTATTTTCAAGGTCACCAAAGGCCAAGATTACGAAAAAATTTCAAGGGCATGGCATTTTCCAAGTGAATTATATCATATTATCTATAACTTGGTAACCGTATGTCACTAAAACATGCATGTTTAATGTATCAATTCCTACTAAATGAGAAGTCAGCAATCAATTGCAACTAATTTAAAGGTCACCAGGGGTAAAGGTTATGACCCCTAATTACAAGGTCGTGAGATTTTCAAGCTAAATTCCATAATTTCTCAATTACCAAATGTTACAGAAACGTGTTTAGCGTGCCAATAATGCCTTCTAAATGGGGTCCTGTTTATCATTTGCAACTATTTCCAAAATCTAGGAGGTACAGGCTTGACCTTATTGCAAGGTCATCATGAAACTCAATGAAAATTTGATTCTAGGATGATCTAAGTACAACACATAAGATTGTTTAAGAGCAAAATATGCATATCCATTCTTTATGACAAATGTTACATTTTATAGAGCGACCTGAGCCCATTGTTGTTTGATGTAAATACTTCATTTTAATACAGGTACTATTGGCATAAGCTCTCTTCTTGTCTGCCCAATGATTGACCTAAAGCCTTCTCGTCCCACCTTTGTATGTATGGTCAACTTTGGAGTGTGCCATTGTAGAGAGGAGATAGTGGATAAAGCACATTTATTTGCCCATTTAATTAGTATCTGTGTTTGGTTGCTTTTATGACAACCAAAGGCTAGCCATTACTGAATTGCCAATGGTAAAACGTGTTGATTCTTAATGGTTGATTCAATACCTATAGCTCCGACTCTGCTCCATCATGGATGGGTGAGGTCTAAAAGCTATACCCTCTCCCAAGTCTACTGAGCATGCTGTCGCAAGTCAATACTTGGGTTAATTGGGTAATTTTAATGTGCTGAGGGGAAAATTAGTAACTTGTCTTGTGTGAAGACAAACTTGTAGATGGTGCCCTTTGAGCGTCATTTCAGCATCTGTTTTCCTAAATATCCCAATTCTTGGTCCTGCAGTGGGATTCTGAAATAAGCAGCAGGCCACTTGGGGAGAACTTGTTCACCATAAGTGAACTCTCTATTAGAAAGTGTAATATGTTTTGGTCGACAAACTTTAAAGCTGCTGTTTTTTGGTGTGCCAAAAGTAGTTATATGTTTTCATATCATGCCAGCTCCAGTCAGATTGGAGAACTAGTTCTGAGACATGATTGCAAACTGGAAGATTTTATCATGTCTGTTAGGATAGGAAACTGGCTACAGACTCTCGTCATCATCCTCCGTTTACTTTGCTGCATCTCAGTAGACAGTCATTGTGACAAGCTAGCAGTCTCAAAAGGGGGGGAGAGGGGCTTTTTTCTGAAAACGTGGACCTAGAAATATTTGTGTACCTAGATAAAATTTTACCCAGAATGCCACTGGCTACAGGCCTGTGTTTGATGGTCAAAGCACCAAGGACAAGGGACGTACAAACAGTTGTAGCTGTGGGTGAGGTTCTAACACGTATGTAAAGGACTTTGTATCCTTCAGTTTGAAGCTCATCATGTAGAAATTGCCTTCTAACAAATATTAGTTGATCAGGCGGTAATAAATGCTTATTGAATGTTGTGCCTTATCCTCAAGTTGCATTGAAGTAAATAGTCCAACTTATCTGCAGAGGACACATTTGCCTTTTAACCACTGTCCATCATGCAGTCAAATTACTCCTTGAATTTGTCCAGGAAAATGCATTTCTTCTCTGAAAGGGACTCTTTTATTTGACCCATACCTAACACTGCTATGCCACAACTACATGTAGACCTACTGTAAGTATAGAGATCCACAGCTAGCAATTGTGATAAACTTGTGGAAGTAAGTTTGAAGATTCGAGAGAAGCACTGGAAATGTATACCAATGAGAAATCAACATTTGATGGTTTTTAAAAGCTGGAGAGAAATGGTTACGGATGTTCAAATGGTGTAGCAACCTGTCTTCTGGGCAAGAAGGTAAATACCATAAAAAGGTGCCATTCCACCTGGTTATATTCCCCCCAGCCTGTGGCCAATATAAAACGTCCTCATTTCTAATTCCATAATATTTTATCTAAATATTGATGTACCCAAAATGAATTAATTCCCCCATTGCAGTATTATAGAATGCTGTACATAATAAGATGTTGAATATTCCAATTTTTTACATGTCTTATGTGAGGCTACAATGGTTATTGTGTAATAGGCTGTCTTTGCCCAGTATGAAACAAGTTTATATCATGTTATTGAGCTTTAAAGGTCTCCCACATGTATCTGAAATTTTTGAAGAAATGTAATTTATCTTGGGAAAAAACACCCTGCAATAGAATAGAAAGTTTTGAACAATGTAGTTCTGACATATAGTGGAATATTCACACAAGATTCAGGTACTTGATGTTTTTTTTTCACTTTTAGTTCCTGTATAATGTAAAACACAGCTTTATTTAAACATATATCTGTATAACACTTAGTGATTTTGAAATGGGTACAGTATACCCTTAAGCCTTGTAAACCGAATGTCATTGATTAAAATGAGTACTATGCAGTAGTGCCAATGCCTGTTCTATAATGAAATATTCTTTAAACAATCACCTGTGTTGTTTTTGATTAGTGTAAAATCAATTTTTCTTAAATGTTATGACAACCTTGTTATAAGGATATGACCCTGACCGGTGGTGATCCTAGAAATAGTTTCAAATGATCGGCAATATGTAACTTAGTATGAATCGATACTTTAAACATGTTTCTGTGACATAGGGTTATCAAAATATAGACATGATGGCATTTTGTTCAAGCTAAAAATGCCATGACCTTGAAAATAAGGTCATGACATTGACCTCTGGTGGCCTAGAAAGCATTTAAAAATGATTTGCAGAACCTCACTTAGTAGGAAATGATATTTAAACATGCTTCTGTAAGATCCAATTACAAAGGTTTCGATAATATGGGAATTTTCTGCTCGAAAAATGCAGTGTTCTTGAAATTAGGGTCATGACCTTGACCTCTAATGACTCTGAAAAAATTTGCAAAAGATTGGCAATGCATTATTCAATAATAGTTAAGACTAAAATATGTTTTTGTGACATTAGGTTACCAATATATGGACATCACGTCATTTTTTTGCTCGCAAAATATATAGATCTTGTGATTAGGTCATGACCTTGATCTCCTGTGACCTTGAAAGTGGTTGCAAAAGATTGGGGATCCCTTACTTAATAGGAGTTGATACTTTAAACATGTTTCTATGACATTGTGTTCCCAAGATATGGACTTCAAGGTGACCCACCCCATTCAATGACGGCCATTTTGGATTTTCGCCGAAAACAGGACTTTGCCATGGGGGGATTCATGGGGGAAATTTTTTGGGTTATATTGGGCCTTCAACGGACCAGAATCAGTTGAGAAACCTTTGTCACCAATTTTTTCCAACCTCAATGGGGAAAATATGCTCGTTTACTGGCCTATACATGTACACTGTACACAACACATACAAATATGTTAAATTCCATTTTACCATCAAAATGGTAGTTATCACAATTATTCTAAGACCGCATTCACAACGATTGAGCCAGGCTTTACAAATCCTGGGGACTAAATATGGCGGACGTACATGAAAGAAAAACCGCCTAATCTTTTAATAGTCTCTCCGCTTCTCCCCACACGTCATCCCTGCGGGGGGACAGTCATTAAATCTCAGAGACCAAAAAGAAATGAATTGGCCCGTAGAGCAGCAATGAATCGGCTATCTATGGAGATAATGTCACAAGAGATATTCACGGAGATAGCCAGCCCCAGTAGACGGAGGAGGAGGAGGGCAGAATTTTTGCGTATGCAGTCTCGTCAGAGGGCGCAGTTCGTTCTGATGCTGGCCTAGTTCCCTACGCCTGATCGAACTGGAAGGGGGTGTTTTTACGATTTTGATCCCGATTCATAGCTGCTCTACGAGCCAATTCATTTCTTTTTCTCAGGTAGCTTCCACATGGCGAACGGAGCCAAGATTTAATTACTGTACCCCGCAGGGACAACGTGTGGGGAGGCGTGTGAGAGGCAGAGAGACTATTAAAAGATTAGGCGGTTTTTCTTTCATGTACGTCCGCCATATTTAGTCCCCAGGATTTAAAAGCCTGGCTCAATCATTGTCAATGCGGTCTAAAACTTGCCATCAGACCACATGGACCTTCATAGATGGCTACCCTACATAAAAATCTATTAGTAAATTTTTATAAAACCCACACTTAAAAAAAAACAATAGCCTATCTTTAAATTTCGGAACAGATTCATTAATCACTGGAAAGTATGGAAATATTGTTTCAAATGGCACTTTTCTCACCATAACCAAGAGTTATCCTCCCTAAAAGATAAACAAAGCATAAGACAAGCCTTTACCTGGGCACCAAGACAAGCCCCTAGCAACATATTCCTAGAACAGTTATCTCCGCCAGATGTGAGCGCTTGCCTCATGGTATCCACATAGTTACCATTAGCGCCACCTATGGACTGTATGCTACAGATGAAGCTTCCTGGCAAAGCTGTTTGGAAAAAGGAGGCACAGGGTAAGTATAAGAATAAGAAAACAAAATTAAAAATTGAATTAAAACTTGTTTTGATAAAAAAATAACAATTTTTGATTTCAGAAAGTCACCAGTGGTTGTCATCTTAACTGGGGTGACAGCAGTTGTTTTGTCACCATGTCAAATGGACGTTGCCATTTGGGTGACTCATTTAAACTGAATTTATACACGTCCATTAAAATTATTTAAACTTGCACTCAAGAATATGTAAGAAACCACAATATTTTTGTCATTTCAGGAAATATGATTTTTCTCGATTTTAGGTTTAATTTTTTTTCACATATGCATAATTAATAAAAAATCCATATATACTCCAAAGTACTTTCACATTAGAGTTTTAGAGAAACTTCATCAATACATCAGTATACGTACAACAGGAAGAGCCAAATTCCTTTGTGGCTGCTCTGAAAGGTTTATCTTTTGCAGCCAGTGCTATCTTGACTTGCTCCTTCACTGTGTCACTAATGTCCATACTAAGTAACTTCTCCACTGCTGAACTGCCTCCTCCATTCAGAATATATTCCTCCAGGAGAAGAGCTCCTGAAAGAAAAAAATGGGGGGATACAATAGATATAAAAATAATCACTGAAAATTAAAGATAAATTTTAACTTATGGAAGCTCTACATCTCATAAAATGTAAAACAAGATGAAGAAAAAATCATGTCACATCTAAATAACTTCATCCATAACTTTTTGTATTTCTCCATCCAGCTGACGTATCAGTATAATCAAGATTTCCAAATTAAATAATACACATTAATATAAATAATATATAATATATCAATAAAAACATTATTGTCTTCATTCTGTATAATTCTCACCAACTTTAATTAAAAATCTGTCACTACATTCAGGGGCGAATCCAGGATTATTTGAAGGGGGGAGCTGAGGATGCGAAGCCGCCCAAACCCACTCTTTGGCATGGGGTTAAGGGGCCCCTGAAGACCTCCAAAATTTTTCTAATTTCAGGGGGGGACCTTTTTCAGACATCAAAAGGGGGGGGGCGACCCTCCTAACACCCCTCTAAATCCACCACTGACATTTATATCAATTGAAATAAGTAGTATTAAAACAACATTCATGTACATACAATACCTGCTATAGCGTACTCCACTGGCGTGTTGTCATCCTGTGTCACTCTCACTATGTCCTCCACCACTGTCCTCAGTTCTGGTCTCCCAGCGTATAACGCTACAATAGGGGCCACCTTTGAGTGTCCGTCTGCCTGGAAAGATAAAAATAACTTTTGGAGGCAGGCGATAAAAAGATTTAAAAACCAATCCATAGGTATTGTTTTTCTATTTTTTTTTTTTTTTTTTTGATGACTGAACTGCTATGACTGAAAAAATATTTATGATAACATTTAACACAAAGTAGGAAAATTTCATTTTTTTCAAATTTATGTAACTATGGACTCGTCACTCGTCTTGTCTTGTGACTTGATGTGATTCTGACGCCCTCTAATTGTTCCTTTGTCTGTTCCTTTGTCTATGTCCCTTTGTTCTGTCTTCCCGCGTCTTTGTCATGTGACTTCACATTATAAAAGGCATTGGCGCCGTATTTTCAAATAGTGCTGAAGTTGCTGTTCGTCTGTCTGTTTCTATGTGGTAAGTTGGATGTCATCTAGTTAATTCTAGTTATATTTTATCTTGCCTTTTGCGTATCCAACTCCACTATACTATACTGTATTACATCGTTTTCTACTCTTTAGTTTTCAGACCAAGCCGTATTGGTATATCCAGCACTCTTTCTAAACGCCCTTGAATAAGATCAGGGTAAGCCGTTATAGCCTTTATAAACCGTAGTTATCTATATCAAATTTATTATTTCCTTATCATAGAGGTAAACTATAGAATTATAAGTTATTTGTTGTATGTCATTTTATTTAATCATATGTCACCTTTATTACAGGGTGAAAATTTTAGTTGTAGCAATAAAGTCATTTTACACAACCAGAGAGTCCGTCTGTTACATTTACATTTTACAATTTAAGTCTTTTCCCATGTGTAACTTTATACTTACATGTAAAATACTGATGCAGAAATAAAATACCTTTGATACTAAAACATCTTTTCAGATTAGCATAGCTCCTAGTGATTTATCAAAGATGTCTCTCTAATCATACTATGTAAAACACAGCAAGTCAATACAGATAACTACACTGAAAGGCAACAAAAATGACCTAACAGATCATGACTACAGAAAATCTATTTCAAACTTATCCAGGGCAATCCATGGTTATAATCCTAATGAATTGTTCTCGCCACTGTGTCTACTCCTAAGCTGCTTTGGCAGCCATGTGATGACAAATTAAGCATATAATTCGAACCGACTGAGCCTGAAGATATTGAATTTGTCTCAACAAGATTATAATCTTACAGTCATCAAAACCTGGGCAATCAATGAAGTGGGTGGTAGAGCATGCAGACATATGATTGTTTATCAGGATCTTCTGTGTGGCAAGGAAACGACAATGCCTGTAAATTTTAATTTTTTGTAACAAAAAATTAGAGAGCATTGACTGACCATTAAAATAGCTTGAAGTTTATGTTATGTTATCTTTATTTTGTTGTCCAGTCCATCCACATATCCACGCAGCTATAATCTACATTGTGTTTCAAGTTCATGTATCTACAGTATATTTACATGTTCTCATTTATTTGCTGAAACAATTACATGTACGTACCAGAAAGGGTACAGTATTTCTAAAATGTATTGAAAAGGGCTCTTTTTCTTACCACAGAGGCTGTTTCTTACACAACAAAGAATGTAACTTTAATTATCTTGTGATTACTTGTATATCATTAATTATTATCATTATCAATTTTTCTGCTTTTCAAGCAATTGAATTCTAAATAAACAGTTTTGTAAACAGTTTTGTGAGGTCACTTCAGCCCCTCACCCCAAAAAGGAAAAATGATTTTTAAGTAAAGAAAATTAAGTTTAAGTAGAATGCAGATCCCGTACATGTGATGACTCATAAGTGATCTTGGTTAATTCCCAGAATTTCAAGGGATCAATAACTTCAATTCCTCAGTTCCTGCCTGAGACCTACAGCACCACAGTTCTCTCACAGCCTGTATGGGATGTAGACTAAATCCACCAACAGCAAGGACAGATGGAGGCCATCTTTTAGGTCTTCCAGAAGACCATCAGAATTTTTCGTTTTTACATTGACAGGCATCTAATTTTTTTCTGTCTGAAAACGGTCAAAAATGGAGGGTGGATCAACAAAGATAATTTGGGAGACAGTCAGAAAATATCACTGGAACTGCCACTGAACAGTTCTTTCTTGGGAACAGGTATGTATATTTTTTCAGGAATTACTGGTAGACTGTGGTATTAAATATGGATTTCTAGTCTTAGTGGGCAACTCTGTTAGCAGACAACAAGGAGAAAAATAATGTAAACAGGTACCAATTAGCTGAAAGAAGACTTTTTTGGTATGGATCCTTGTAACTACTCCTTGAAGGTATTAGGTGGGTGATCAAATCTCTTAAACAATGCCACAATATTTTTCATAAAGATATGAATTTCAAGGTGGCAAATATAACAAAATATATTTTCTGGTAGCACTATTAAATAATTTTCAAATACCACATTTCATTTTATATATGCGCAACATATGGTATTCTTCATTGTTTCAATTTTCAATTACGAGTAATCCAAATGATAAGAATCTAACTCAGACAGCCTAAAATGTGGCTATCAGCACTGTGCGATGTCATATTATACTAGAAAATGTGTAATGAAAGGAGGGGTTGACCTTTAAACAACAAGGGTGAAACAGTATGTGCTGTCATAATAGAAACCAATACAAAAGTATCATGTAAATCATGTGAATCCAAAGTGTTGTATGTTAAAAGAAAATGTAATTATAGTCAGAATTTAACAAAAAACAACCAGAAACATATTTTGAATAAATTGGGTCATCTTTTATCTGTATTTCTGACCCTACTCTGCTCGAAATCCTATGAAATATTGTCACAAGACAATGGGCTACTTGGATGATGGTCTATTACTAATATATGCTTTTGTTTAGTATTTAAGAAAAATTATTTACATCCCTGCTATAAACTTTATTGAAATAAAAAATACGACATTAAAGTCAGTGTTTTTAGGCTAAGCTATTTATATTTATGATACTGATACCTACATGTACACAAAGTGTTTTGTTTTGTCATAAGATGTAAATCTGAAGTACGTGCAGACTACCGGCAAACAGACTTTCTGCTTAGCTTGGGATCACTTCATAGATTTCATTCACAAATGATATCCATATTTTCATAGATTTTTATATCAAATCACACAACTAAATCTACTTACACAAGAAATCAATACAAGTTCTCAGTATTGTGGGCGTTTTGATAGAATGATTGTTATATCTGCTATGAGTAAAAGGCTGTGTTGTTTCAGAAATATTAGACATAAGGAACTGTAGACGTGCATGCCAATAATGCTTTGTCCTGATTATGTAATGCTATGAGAGCACCAATGGCAGATCAATGGTAGCACACATCTGGCATGC